GGCTGAGCAGGAGTCTCCAGGTGAAGCTGGAAGGTGGCTCAGAACAGTGCTGCCCCACTTCCACAGGACCCTCTGCTCCTATCACATCTTACCTGCCATCACAGTCAGCATGTTTGAGACAGAATATACTCATGTCAGATCCTCCACAATCATCAATACCAGTATTTGTACAAAACGTTTCAGAAAATACTGCTGTCTAGTGAATACATTTGAATGAAAAGGTAGTAATTTTTTTACCTTTCAAAGAATTAAAATAAATTTTAAGAGTCTTAAAATGTCTTTCTGTTCTTCTAGCAAAAAAGAGAGAACCACTAGATGTAAGAAATTTTGATTATAGTGCTCGAAGCTGGACTGGAAAATCTCCAAAACAATTTTTGATTGACTGGTGCAGGAAGAATTTTCCCAAGAGCCCAAATCCCTCTTTTGAAAAAGTTCCAGTTGGAAAATATTGGAAATGTAGGTATGTATTTCCTATGACCTTTATATTTTCCTTTTGTTCATTTAAAAATAAAATTGCTGCTGATTCTGTTTTGTTGACCCAGATTAGTGTTAGTATAGTGCCTTTATCCCAGATTCTTTTTTCAGTCTGCCAGGGAGGTCTTTCACCCTGGATAGTTCTGCAGAAGTAATGCTTAGACCCAACACAGTCACAAAGATAAGATTCCAGAAAGCAGGGATGAGTGGTTTTTATTGTACAGTTGAATAAAAGGTTAGTCTGAAGCAAGATAAAGGTAGTTAAATTTGGACAATAAACTTTTGGTATTCTCATTCAAACAAATCTATGAAGTCAGAGATGTTATATCTGTGAATACCAAAACCCCTTTGGAGATTGTTTAAAATGAAGTGGAAGTTAGAAATTTGTATTAAGCTACCACAAAATAAAGTGGAAGTTAGAAATTTGTATTAAGCTACCACAAAATAAAGTGGAAGTTAGAAATTTGTATTAAGCCACCACAAGTTTGTAGTAAAACTGGTGCAGTATCAGATATTAATATTATTTAGAAAACAAGTCTATAATGTATTGTAAAGTAGAATATTATTATGGACATAGTGTTACAAGTGAGTATTGTTTCTTGAAGGAACCAAGTGAAATAACTTCTTGCTGAAGGTAAAAGCTGCTAATAAGAATATGAGAAATTTATCTGCTGCTCCAACTGACATGAATCTGTTATACAGATGTTTGCATCTCAGTAGATCATTAAATGTCATCTCAGTCTATCCTAAGGAGTCATCAGCACATAAATGTTTAGACCTCCTTCCAGAGCAACTAACCTTGATGGTAATCTGTATTTGTATAAATATTTCTGCTTTGAGGGAAATGAAGACATTGGTTAAGAGCAAAAAAAAAAAATAAATCACAAATTCACTGGTGGAATCTGCTGAAAATTTTCTGCTATTCAATCAAGCTTTTATTAGCTGTTCCTGTGCGCTGAACTACTGAGTAATACGAAGTTTATTTCTCTTAGTTGCTCTATTTGAATGTCACTCTTCTGTTTTAAGCAAAAACATTAACAGGTGTGCTGTTTATGCAGGTAGCAAAAATTGAGATAAATGCCTTTGTGAATTTCTCTTTAAGGGTCAAGATTGTCAAATCATCAGATGATGTAATGGCAATGTGTCCTACAATTGTAACTGAAGACAGTATGCAAGCACAGCATCTAGCTGCTACTTTGGCACTCTACCATCTGACCAAAGGACAAGTAAGATTTTTCACCACTATTTCTGTTCTTGGCCTGGAATCTGTCTCTGCACTGGTTAGTTGTAATGCCTATAGTTAAATTCTAAAAATAGTTTAATGAAGTGTTTCCCATTAAATTCTTTACTAGTGTTCTGTGTTCATTCAGTTTCATCTATAATCATCTATATATGCTTTGCAGCATACAGGGAGGAAATGTTTAGATAGTAAAACTGTTCCTGCAGTGTTGTGTAGAATGCAAGCCAGTTGAAATTAAAAATGTGTTGTTTACATTTGCATTACTGTTTTGATAGTTGCTGTATTTAGAAGTAGCTCCCTAACTTGCTTTTTGCCATGTCTTTTGATACTCAAGTTTGTTTACGCATAAAATGTTAGTGATGCTACGAAGTAGTACCTAATATAATATTTTTTCTTCTTTTTCCACCTGAAGTCAGTTCATCAGCTGCTGCCTCCGACCTACCGAGATGTCTGGCTGGAATGGAGGGATATTGAAAAGAAAAAGGAGGAAGAGAACAAGATAGAGTCCAACAAGCCTCGTGATACCTTTATTGCTAGGTTATTGAACAAACTCAAACAGCAACAGCAGCTGCAGTCCGAAAACCAGCCTAAAGTGTCTGAGGGTCCTGAAGATTCCTGGGAAAACTTAGTTTCTGATGAGGACTTCAGCAGTCTCTCCCTTGAGCCCTCAGATGCAGATAATTTGGAACCTTCAAGAATACTGTTCAAAAAGCTGCAAAGTTCCTCCAAATACCAGAGGCTTCTGAAAGAGAGGCAGGAGTTACCTGTGTTTAAGCACAGATACTCGATTGTAGAAACTCTTAAAAAACATCGAGTAGTTGTTGTGGCTGGTGAAACAGGCAGTGGGAAGAGCACCCAGGTGCCCCATTTCTTGTTAGAAGACTTGTTGCTGGATGAAGGATCGAGTAAGTGCAACATTGTTTGCACACAACCCCGAAGAATCTCAGCAGTGAGTCTGGCAACTAGGGTTTGTGAGGAGCTAGGCTGCGAATCAGGACCAGGAGGAAAAGTAAGATGTGCCTGAATTCCTTTGTCTTGTCTTGATCAATCACAGGGGGCTGGATTGCTGGTACAAAGTTAAAATACTACTTCTTGCACAACCAAATAATTAAATGTTGTTTTCTCTTGAAAAGGGCTTCTTGGTATGCCAGTTGGTTTTTTTCAAGCTGTCACCTGCGAACCTCTGGGTATCTATGTGGGATTTCTAAAATCTTTAGGGGCTGGTGTGTAGGGCAGTGGTGTTTCATAGTGGAGATAGTCAAGCATTTGAACAGATTGCCCAGAGATTGTTGCATCACTATCACTAGGGATGGAGAAAACTCCTCTCAATAAGGCTGCGAGCAATCCAGTCTGGACTTGAGTGAGGCCCTGCTTTGAGAGAAGCTCTTTCCAACAGAGGTTATTTGGTTGTTTGAAGAAAGTCAAGGTCCTGTATTTTTATGGTAGTCTGTTTGTGCAGAAATAGTTTTGAGGCCTGCAAAGAATCCTGAAAAGAACATTGAGTTTGCCGGGTCTTTGCTCCTCTGGATAAATTTGGTATATTTTCCCTTTCTTAACAGAAAGTGCTTGTATAAATGTGTGGTAATCATTCACCATACTGTTTAATCAGCAACTTGTGCAGTGTCTGAATCTGACAGTTAGGCCATTTCACTTAACTTTGAATATCTCTAGGTTGTATATTAAGTTGTTCCTATATTTTTTATTTTTTTAAAGAATTCCCTGTGTGGATATCAGATTCGTATGGAATCAAGAACAGGAGAAGCCACCAGACTGCTGTACTGTACAACGGGTGTCCTGCTTCGGAAACTTCAAGAAGATGGTCTTCTTTCAAGCATATCTCATGTTATTGTAGATGAGGTTATTGGCTTTTTACTATTCTGCAGAAATTCTAGTTATTCTGGGCCTTGACCTGTGTTAAATCCTTGCTATAGATATGTTTTTCTAATTCTAGGTACATGAAAGAAGTGTCCAGTCTGATTTCTTGCTAGTTATCCTGAAAGAGATCTTGCATAAGCGTTCAGACCTGCATCTGATTTTAATGAGTGCTACTGTGGACAGTGAGAAGTTTTCCAGCTATTTCTCACACTGTCCCATTTTAAGGATCTCAGGGAGGAGTTACCCAGTTGAGGTGGGTAGATGTTTGTTTGACTATGCCTCATAGACACTTTGTGTACATGTATACAGCATTTGCCTTGTTAGAATCTATAGGAAATATACCCATATCACTTTTTAATTACCAAAAATACAGATCTTACAAGATTTTTTCGAGGACTTGTAAAGGATTTTAATGAGGTCAGTCCATCAGTGGCATTTTGATTTTTCTCTATTCAACCTAGGTAGGAAAAAAAATCAAAGCATTAAAGAATTACCTCACCTCCAATGCAACTTTGTCATTTCACTCTTAGGTATTTTTGTTATGTATGCTATATAGGCTGTGGTAAAGGTTATGTTACTGGTCATGTGGACAGGCCCATTAATAAACTTGTAGCAGCTCTAAGTTTGTTTTCCAAAATTGTAGCAAAGATTAAGCTGAAGCTTGCAAGATCTGTTAAAACATTAGGGTATGCCCTGTTCGGCCTTGTCATGGAACCATCTGAAAATGGAAAAGGTGCTGATGAGTTTCTGACATGCCTTGTATTTTTCTGTAAATTTTCACTCAAGATTTTCCATGTTGAAGATGTAATCGAAGCAACTGGCTACGTTCTGGAGAAAGACTCAGAATATTGTCAGAAGTTCCTGGAGGAGGAGGAGGAAGTAACAATAAATGTTACTAGCAAAGGAGGAGGCAGTATGAAGTACCAGGTAAAATAGCCATTTCTAGTTTAAGCTTGAAAATTCTGACTATTCTTTTTACTATTTCATAATTTTTTTGGTGTAATACCAAATGTTCTTTCAGTTGATAAAAGACAGACACAATGGTTTGTGAATGCTGCACCCTTTGGATTGTCTCTACAACTCCTGTGTAGCTGGCTTGGTTTTGCTGCATTTTTGGTGTTGACTTCTGTTGCGCAGATTCCCAGCTCTGAATCTATAAGCAGGAACAGGGAAAGCATTAAATTTTATTTTTTCCCCTCAAAGAATTCTCTTACATAGTGAACCTAACAACAGAAGAGGGAAGACCTTATCCTTTTTAGCTGAAATACTCCCAAAATCTTCCAGCTTGGCATGCCAATTGAGATAATTTACATGGGATGCTTGTATAGAGCTTTTTTGTTTAACACAGCTGATGTGTAATCCTTAGGTACTCTGCAGTGACAGCTGTATGTGCCTTTTGGGTCAAAATTCCTGAAGGGAAGACTACATGAATGCCTTCTGATTTTGGCAGCTTAGGCTGTTCATGTTTTGGGTAGATACCTGTCTGCTCTGACTTGCTTTCTTCAGATCTCTGCAGGACCATTTATCTTGGTGTGACCAAACTCTGATGCACATATTAAAAAACACACTCTTGTGTGCTCTGTTGATTTGTGTTATCCCTGGAGTGGTAGTAACCTGCTGCATCACAACAGCGTTCTCTCCTGAGTGCTGGTTCATCTTTGTGGCTTGTTTCTGTTGAGCCTTCAGGACAGAAGGACATGTGGTGTCAAGCTTCTAAAAGTCAATTATTAACAGTGAAATAATTTACAATAATGCCACTTAACAGAGAAGCTTTATGCTAAGTATGTGAGATGTATGTAAGCAATTTGTTCTGCTGAGTCCTCCTTTCTCCTGCTCCAAAACACTTCAGGAGTTTCCACCTGATTCACTCAACTTTCATTGCAACCATTAGCTGAGAAAAGGGAGATGAGGGAGAGGAGAAAGGGGAAACTACTCCAAAACAGGAGTTTTGAAAGAAGAATAGATACCCTGTCACGCCGATTTTAATTGATGCCAGTGAGATGCCAGGCGTGGACCTGGGAACTGTTTACTTCTTGGACAGACTTTAATTTTTGTCACGGTTGAGAAGGACATGCAACATAGATACATACACAGAAATAGTGGCAAAAGGCAAAAAGCTCTCTTTAATACAAATTAGCCCTTTTAATACTTTTTACATAAAGCATGTCTTTTGTTCATTGGATATAACATGTTACAAGGAACCTGTCATTGGCTACATATTACATAAGCACACATTTCGTTTATTGTCCTGTTTGACAAAAAAGCTTTCTCTTCTTTTGGCTCTTGTTCATCTTTCTTTTGGTAAGCATGCCTCCTTCTTGGCTGCTGCAATCATTCAGGGATACACGATGATCGGCTCAAGGTTGAAGTCTACAAGGCCTTCAGACCAGCTGTCAGCTCCCACAAATTTTTACCTTTTTCTTTTTTTAAAAAAAATCTGGAATATCACTTAACAGCAGTCGATACCTATACACATTATGTAGGTGGCTGTGATTTAGTCTAACTCACGCTGGTTTTGGTGGTATGTTAGTCACTTAAATGTCTCTTATCTCAAGCTCTGTTTTAAGTGAATGACAAATTAAGCTTCTGCTCTCTTACCTTCTTCTAAAGCACTAAGAATGTGATTTTCGTTTTTCCTGCTCTTGTTTTTTAGGAGTATGTCCCAGTCCAGTCTGGGCCTGGCAGCGATTTGACTCCTTACTATGCAAAGTACAGCAGTCGTACACAGCAGGCTATCCTATATATGAACCCGTACAAGATCAACCTTGAACTTATTTTGGAGCTGCTTGCATACTTAGGTACAGTCTACTTTTAAGAAGTTTATGTACTTGGGGTTGTCCTTTGGACTTATTTTCCAGTGTTTTCTACTGATAATGAAGTTCTCAACTTCATTCTTACATGAAAAATCCTAAAAAGCCTTGACCACAGGGCCCAGCATTAGTTCCTGCTCTCATGGTAAACTGTTTGCGAGTGCACATTTGATTTAACTTTGTGCCTGTACTGTGACTTTCCAGACAGAAGTCCGCAGTTCAAGAACATTGAGGGTGCTGTGCTGATCTTTTTGCCAGGCCTTGCCCATATCCAGCAGCTCTATGATCTCATTTCGACTGACAGAAGATTTAACTTGGGTGACCGGTAATGCAAATATTTGCTATAAAGTTTATAGTTTTAACTTAAAGCCCAACAAACATACTTGTTAAGGTTTGCTGTTCTTGAAAAGGGAAACTGAGGATTATACCTCGGAGCTGTTAGTGTTACTAATGTACTTTCATAATCTAAAAATTACATGATAGGAATAGTAAAGTAATAACTTTTCCTTTTTCAACAAACTTATGTAATCAGAAAGCACCTCACTATTTCTTTTCCAATTCTTAGGGTATGGAAGCTGCCATACCTGGAATATAGATTTCTGTGGCTTACTGTTTACATGGAAGTCTAGTGAGACAAAATCTAGAGCCAGTAATCTCCCAAGAGAAATGGCCTATAGTTTTAATGGCAGATAGTTTTGAAATTTACCTTGTGGGTAACTGAAAGTTAGCAACATGATTGCATAGAAAGATTATTTTCAGTCAAATGCTAAAGATCCATAGGTGGACTGAGGAATCAAGGTCTGGAAGAGAAGGGAAGTCTCATCTCTGAAGGCCTTTGTTACTCAAACTGAAAGTCGCATGTGTTTATAGTCGTGTGCAAAGTTTCAGTAATGGTACTTGTCTTGAAGCACAGTGTAAAGAGCTTGGGTTCATGGACTCCTGGTTCCCTTTCTTTCCTAGGCTATTGTTGTAAATTAACCTGGAGTTCTGCAGTAGTGCTGTTTTTCCTGCATTATTACTGCACAGAAGATCAGCCCTATGAACTTATGATGTTACTCTTTCTTGGTACTGTAATAAAAGAGTGAACCAGACTTTCATACCTAATCATACAAAGTTTTGCTCTTTCAGTTGTCCATTCTAGTTGCTTTCTCCAAACTGTTGTCATGCTGATCTCAATTTTTTGCCATCTCGTATTTGGTAAGTGTATATTGGTAACTATGATTTCTTTTTCTAGGCACAAGTTGATAGCTTTGCATTCTGTGCTTTCAACTCAAGATCAAGCAGCTGCATTTTCCATACCTCCTCTTGGTGTTAGAAAGGTATGATACATTTAGAAAGGCAGAGTTCACCAGTGAAAGGAGAAACTTTCTGTGGGTGCAACTCTGAATTGTTTCAAGATCAATTCATACAGAATTACACAACAACCAGTTGTTCCCTAAATTTCTGACTGCAAAGAAACAATTCTAATACAGTGGTCTGTAATAGGTAGAAGTTAATATGCTCTGAAAACGTTGACAGCAATCTTTAAACCTAATATTTTTCTAAGAAATTCTTTAATTGTTGCTATCCTGTGTTTTAACTATTGTTAGCCAGTAACTATAGCTTTTATCTAGGAAAATAGTATTTTATTTGCTGCCAAACTGTTTTACTAATGTTGACCAATTTTGGAAGATACTAATTGGTAATTTTGATGAATTATAAAATGAAAAGTGAATCTGAAATTCTTAACCAAGTTTTCATTTCCTCTCAGTGATTGGGGAAAACCAGACCGTTTTCCAAGTCATGTAGGTTTTAATGCTTTGTCAGATTATAGAAGGAAGCATTTCTGGGTAAAATATTTTAACCAGACTTACTCTATAATATGATTTAAAGAATGAAACCTGTAGGCATTCCATAATTCTTCTATTTATGTTATGTTACTTTTTCCAGATTGTTTTGGCAACCAACATAGCAGAGACAGGTATTACAATACCAGATGTTGTCTTTGTAATTGATACTGGAAGAACGAAAGAAAACAGGTGAGAGTTTGGTTTTCATCAGTCATACTGTGATCACTGTAAATATTGGGATGTTAGTGCTGCAAGAATTTGATAGTGTCCTTATGCGACAGTTCTGGATGCAAAGATGTGCCTGAGTTTTCAAAGGAAAAACTCTTTGAACAGGTTGCAGTTTAGGTATGAGTTTGGGATGTATCTCTGGATTTTCAAATGGTGTGAAAAACAACAAGGAAAGTTGTTTATCGATACGGAGAGTCACGAATAAGTACTGGTTTAAAAATAAGGAAGATCCTTATTATACCATTTCAGTTTAAAAAGTTATTTGTTCTCCACTTTAAATGTAAGAAATGTGTTAGAACAATTCTGAATTGCCAGGGAGATGAAATAATAAAAACCTGTTTAATTTTCCAGCTTTCACACTCTTTGACAGTTGTATTCAAGGTTCTGTAATACACAGTTTCTCCCGGGCATGCTTAATTTTCAAAGCTAAATATGTCTTCAAGTAAATACTATTTAAATATATTATCAACGTGCTGGTAGTTAAGCTTATAAAATTTTAGTTCTGAAATCTGACTAGGCACTTGCTTTATAATGTTTAAGGTATCACGAAAGCAGTCAGATGAGCTCCCTGGAAGAGACCTTTGTGAGTAAAGCCAGTGCTCTGCAGCGACAAGGGAGAGCTGGGCGTGTCAGGGATGGGTTCTGCTTCCGAATGTACACGAGAGAGAGGTATGGTGAACTAAGCAGGAGTTTGTTAGTCACATAGCTATCTCTTTTATTCTGTGCAGAATCAAGAATTTCTGTGGAAATTCACCTAATTACTGCAAACTGGAGAGATTGAACTGGGAAAAAAAACTACGAAGCAAACAAACTCAGAATTTGAATATCATATGAATAAAGGGTTACAATAGTGTTTGTTTCACTTTTTTAAAAGAGGTTAATTTTATTCATAGTATCTGTACAATGTGTTTCGAAAAAAATAAATTCATAGTTAACGTGTGGCACCAAGGGATTGTAGAATATCAGTTTTTAGCAACGCCTACTGCCTCACATCAAATATGTGCAAACTTTACCTCTTGATCTGTGAATTTTTATCAGACAAATCCATAGGTTTCTGAAGTGGTATCCCTGTGGATAAGGTTTGGGGTCACTGCACAGTTAGTTTATGTTACTGCTGTGGAGTAACCTTTTTCCTGTTTCTGTGAAAGTCTGAAGCAGCTTTCATCTGAGAAGGGATTAAGGCTAAAGTATCTTGATGCAAGCAATGATTTTACCCACATACAAGACTTTGAGTTTGAGAGCTGTGCATTTTGCTTGTTTTGAAACTTGGGGTCTTACTGCCTTTCCCTCTGTGACTAAAACTTGCTTTCCAAGCTACAACACATGCCTTAATTCAAATGATGGGTAGTTTAATCAAGCTACAACCCCTACCTTGCCCCTCAAAAGAACATCTATGAGAAATTACCATGTGAAACATAGATTTAATTCAAAGATTAAATGGAATTTGTGTGTTTCTGTGTTTTTACGATGTTGCAGGTTTGAAAGTTTCATGGAATATTCTGTTCCAGAAATACTGCGTGTGCCTTTGGAGGAATTATGCCTTCATATTATGGTATCGTTTTTGGTTTTAGAACTGCTGACCTTGTGGGGTGGGTTGACTTTTTCTGGGCACTGGGTGCCCACCAAAGCTGTTCTATGACTCCCCTCCTCAACTGGACAGGAGAGAGAAAGTAAAACAAAAGGCTTATAAGTAGAGATAGGGAGAGATCACTCACTGGTTATAGCAAAACAGGCTTTATTTGGGGAAATTAATTGAATTTAGAAGCAATCAAATCAGAGTAAGATAATGAGAAGTAAAAGCCAAATCTTACTAACACCTTCCACCCCACCCCTCCCTCCTACCCCCCAGCAATGCAGAGGGATGGGGAATGGGGGCTATGATCAGTTCATCACATACTGTTTCTGCTGCTGCTTCCTCCTCTGAGGGGAGACTCCTTCCCCTGCTCCATCACGGGGTGGGTCCCTGCCACAGGAGACAGTCCTCCACAAACTTGTCCAATGCTTCCCACAGGGTGCAGTTCTTTATTAACTGCTCCAGCATGGGTCCTCCACAGGGTCACAAGTACTGCCAGCAAACCTGCTCCAATGCGGGCTCCTCTCTCCATGGGGCCACAGGTCCTGCCAGGAGGCTGCTCCAGTGTGGGCTCTCCACAGGGTCACAGCCTCCTGCAGGTATCCACCTGTTCGGGCATGGGCTCAGCCATGGACCTCCGTGGGCTGCAGGGGCACAGCCTTCCTCACCATGATCTTCCACACAGGCTGCAGCAGCTGGAGCACCTCCTCCGCTTCCTTCTTTGCTGACTCTGCAGGGTTGTTGATCTCACAGATTCTCACCTCTCTCTTCTCTGGCTACAGTTTGCTTCTGCACAATTACTTATCCCAGAGGCACTACCACCATCTCCCATTGGCTCAGTCTTGTCCAGCAGCCAACCATCCTGGAGCTGGTTGACATTGGCTTTATCAGACATGGGGAAGGCTTCTAGCAGCTTCTAACAGAAGCCACCTTGTAGCCCCCTGCTACCAAAACCTGCCATGAAAACCAATTGTCTTTGTCAGCTTTGTTAGCTAAAAATATTAAGTGTACCTGTGGAGGAATTACGCCTTCATACTGTTATCTAGTCTTGGTTTTGGAATTACTGACCTTATTAGCTGAAAAGTTTTGCTAGGTCAGACCTGACCCAGTGTAATTGGTTAGTGGAGCTTCTCCCCCCAGGGCTGGGAGTCAACTCAGCACTTGAGTGCTAGAAAATCCAGAGCATGCTGTTCAGTGAGAATAGCATAGTGTGCTGCTCCAGTTTGCCTCAGAGTGACAATTCAAACTCAGTAAAATAGCCCAACTGATTTCAGCTTAAGGGAGCAATTCCATTCCCTCTCTTCCTGTCCTAATTGAGCAGGACATGCATGGGAGAACTAGCAACTTGGCAAATCAGTGCTAGGTTGAACTGCGTCCCATCAGATGTCCTTCCAAACAGTGAAGTTTTGTTAACCTCATGTGGGGCTTCTGGGAAGCACAAGGCTTGCTCAGAGGAGAGGGAATGTGAGCTTCTGCTTGCAAGAGCAGCTTTCTAGTTTTCTTCGTAGCTACTAGAAAACATTGTTATAAAAAGTTTTTATATGGAAACATATACTCATTTTCTCCACAGAAATGCAATCTTGGCTCTCCTGAAGATTTTCTTTCCAAAGCATTAGACCCACCGCAGCAGCAAGTAATTGGTAATGCAATGAACCTGCTGAGGAAGATTGGGGCTTGTCAGTTAAACGAGCCCAAGCTGACTCCATTGGGCCAGCACCTTGCAGGCCTTCCTGTTAATGTAAAGATTGGCAAAATGCTTATATTTGGTGCTATATTTGGCTGCTTGGATCCTGTGGTGAGTAAAGAAAAATAAATTGTATCTAAACTTTAAAAGTTATAGAAATTGTTAACTCTGTGCATTGAATCTGATTTCTTGCAACATGGTTTTTTGAAGAGATGATGCAAGAAGTTGGAATGTTTATTTCAGTGTGAGGGCGGCTGAACATCATGGAGGGGAATAATCTAATAATCATTATGGTTGGTTCAATGATCTTAAAGTTCTTTTCCAACCTAAAATGATTCCGTGATTCTGAACTAAGTGCTATTCACAAGGGATAGTCAGGCTTGGTCTCCAGTTTTGTCTGAGGTGATCCCAGGGGGTCTGACATGTAGAGGGAAAGTCCTCTTACACATATGGGTTAGGCCAGTCTGCATTTCCCCATAAGTTATGTGCCAAGGACACAATGATGTAAAGTTACTGCAAATTAACTGATGCAGTAACTTACTATATAAAGACTGTGGCAGAGCTTACATTTTCACCTATTCCATTCAGTTAATTGCAATTTAGGATGAAACATGGGTATCTGAGTTGATGGAAAGTGAAAGTTAAAATTCTTTGTTCCCTTCAATATCTCCTGTTCATGTGGCATAACCTAAAGCAGTTGATTGATCTGACTTCCACTGTATCAGGTATTGCTCTGTCATTTAGCAAAACTCTTTTCATTTGAGTTTTGAGATGTAATTTTTTTTACCATGGTATGTAAGGCACTATGTAAGCATGGCTTTAATATAAGCAAATACTGAATTCTATGTAGGAAATTCTCATGGTGATAAGTTTTTCTTGTCATTTAGTAGAAGAAAAGCTGTTGTTAAATATTGCATATTATCCATAGAGTGCAAGAGCTAGTGATCCTGAGGCACAAGGAATTGGGCAAGGAAGACAAGATGGTTATGGATGAGTCAAGACCTGCTGGTCAGAGTTAAGGGCAGCAAGCAAATGCACAGGCAGTGGAAGTAAGGACGTATCCTGGGAAGAGTGTAGAGACATGGTATAGTTGTGTAGGGATGGAGTGAGGAAGGCCATGGCAAAGCTGCAGCTGAACATGGCAAGGGACACAAAGAATAACAGGAAGGGCTTCTACAGGTATGTCAGTCAGACAAAGGCTGGAGCAAGCACAACCCCACTGATGTACACGACCAACTGATAGCAATGGATGAGAAGAAGGCTGAGGCACTCAACAACGTTTTTGCCTCAGTCTTCAATAGCAACCTCTCTTCCCACACCTCTCGAGTGGATGGACTGCAAAACAGGGACTGGGGGAGCAAAGTCTCTCCCACTGTAAGAGTAGATCAGGTTCATGACTGCCTGAGGAACCTGAATGTACATGAGTCTAAGGGACCTGATGAGACAGATCTGAGGGAATTGACTGATGCAGTTGCCAAACAACTTTCCATGATATTCAAAAAGTTATGGCAGTTAGGGGAGCTCCCAGGTGACTGCAAAAAGGGAAACATTGTACTCATCTCTTATAAAAAATAAGAAAGACCCTGACCTGTCAGCCTCACCTCTGTGCCTGGGAATATCATAGAACAGATCCTTCTAGGAGCTATGCTAAGGCATGTGGGGGTGAGGGAGATGATTCGAAACAGCTGGCACAGCTTCACCATGGGCAAGTCCTGCCTGACCAGCCAAGGGCTACAGGTGTCCTGGAAGATGATCAGAGAGGACTGGAGCACCTCTCAATGAGGACAGACTGACAGGAAGCCAGGAGATGAGGCCCTGGTTGCACCTTTTCAGTACTTGATGTCGGAGAGGGAATTTTTACAAGGGCATGTAGTGATAGGACAAGAGGGAATGGATTTAAACTGAAAGAGAGTGGGTTTAGGTTGGATATTAGGAAGAAATTCTTTACTGTGAGTGTGGTGAGGCACTGGCACAGGTTGCCCAGAGAAGCTGTGGATTTCCCATCTCTGGAGGTGTCCCAGGCCAGGTTGAATGAGGCTTTGAACAACCTAATCTAGTGGAAGATGTCCCTGCCCATGGCAGTGGGATCAGAACTATATGATCTTTAAGATCCCTTCCAGTCCAAACCAAAGTATAATTCTATGATGCCTGTAAAAGAAAATCTAAAGCTATTTGTGTGATAAACTTGTAAGCTTGTAATAAAATACTCTTAAGTGATGTGTACTTTACTAATTGCAGGCAACTCTGGCTGCTGTTATGACAGAAAAATCCCCATTTACTACACCAATTGGACGAAAAGATGAAGCAGATCTGGCAAAATCATCTCTAGCTATGGCAGTTTCAGACCATATAACCATCTACAACGCTTATTTGGGGTAAGTGATAATTGTCCTGTGCTTATAGCTAGTTGCAGATAACACTTAAGTAATGCAGTTACGTAAAGAATCCTTAATAACTATCTCCTCTGAATTGCTTTCAAGTTATCCTCTTCAGAATGACAATAGATTGCCAAAGACTGTAACACAGAAGGATAACTTGCTTAGTATTTTTTTCTATAACACCTTTTAACTATGCTTGCACACGTGCAGAGGTTTACTGTGTCAGTTTATCCTAGTGTTTAAAGTATTTTGTTTGCAGTTAGGTGTTATTCTGACCAGAATGATTTGTATTTAATAAAACACAAACATATAAAATGACTTACAGTCTTTTTCTTTTTAGGGTATTGGTACTAAGTCGCAAAAAACACACCTGAATTTAGTTTCTATGGGCAAGACAGACAGAAATGTGTGTGTTTTTTGTGAGAAAATTACCTTGTATTTTTGTAAATGTCTGACAAATCTGTGTTACAGGTGTGTGTTCTGGAGTCCCCTTAGACCAGCAGCATTCCTCTTCATTAGTGCAGTTTATTTTAGTGTTGAGTGGAGAGTGCTGACCAAAAGACATTACTCCTTTTTAACTTAACATCACTTTTATTGTACTTTTGATGGGATTCTTCTTGCTATACTAAGAGGATTTTTTTCCTCAGGTGGAAAAGGGCTCGACAAGAAGGAGGGTATCGTGCTGAAATGACTTACTGCAGAAGAAACTTCCTTAACAGGACTTCACTGTTAACTCTGGAGGTAAACCAGATAATTATGCTTTGCAGTCACAGGTTATTGTTAAAATTTCCCTCTGAAAATGTCATTCCCTTTTAAAGAGGTGATATATCACTGTTGCTATTTAGACAAGAAAGTGGAATGCTAGAGACTGATGAAATGCAACGCCCTCAGTTGAGGAAGCTGTGTCTGCATTGGAGTTTTGAAACTCAACTTTGATGTTCAGCTTTGCAGTCACTGCTGTTGGAGGAACTGGGCCTAACTTTCACCAAAGATTCAAAACTTCATACTGTGTTATTCTTGATATCAAAGAACAGGCTTGTTAACAGTTAATTTGAAAAATGAGCCACAAACTTGGCTAAATGACCATTTATTTTCAGAGAGAAAATGTTTTAATTAGTCTTTCCTGTTTGCATTGGGGTAAGTGAGCACTTCTGAGCAGAAGTGGATCTTTGAGGCAAATGTAGCTTTTCATTTTAACTACAGGTGAGAGCTTTAGTATTTGCAGCACACATAGTACCGTATATCTAATCCTGTATTCCAGGTAATGCCTTTTACCACAGAAATTGTTCCAGACGTTGCTATGTGTGTAGAGATGGTCAAGACACAGGTTCTGTGACAACAGCCGAATTCTATTTCTACAGTGCTTCTTTTATATTGTTCTTCACACACCGTGTTAATTACCTATTGGTCAGTGATGTAGTAATGCTTAATTTGTTGGTTAACAGCTGCTTATGCATACCCTTACTAATTATCCCAAAATACCCTCCTTTTATGGTCATCTTACTCCTTTCCCACAAGATGTTTTGCCTCGTTAGTCTCACAGGTACAGGCTTATCTTAATGCCGTGCTCACTTGTGAGGCCTTCAGTCCACTGTCAGCCTTCACAGAAATAGCCAATATTCCAAGTGGCTGCAGAAAATACAAGTGGTTTTTCTAGTAAGAGGTTTTCCACAGGAGAGCATGAATAATTCAGATGAAGTGTCATTGCTTGCTGACAAAGTGAAGTTTGTAACCTTTTTGATTCAAATTTTTGCTAACACCTTACTAATTTCAGGATGTGAAGCAAGAACTCATAAGGGTGGTCAGAGCAGCAGGATTCGCAGCACCTACAACACAATGTGGACGGGATGGAAACGGAGCCACACAATCCCTTTCTCTCAGTGAAATAGCTCTTCTTAAAGCTGTGTTGACGGCAGGGCTGTATGATAACATAGGAAAAATAATGTATACGAAGTCTGTGGATATCACAGAGAGGCTGGCTTGCATGGTAGAAACTGCTCAGGGTAAAGCACAAGTGCATCCCTCCTCTGTAAATCGAGACTTGCAGACATATGGATGGCTGCTTTACCAGGAGAAGGTAAGTTGAAGGTAGCTGGTAGTTTATGTAAAGGTGGAGTTATGCCTCTAATATACTGCTTTACAGTAATGTACATTACTTAATATTTGAATGTTTTCTTTGGCTTAAAGAGTCTTTAATTATCCTAAGTCTGTAAAAAATTAGTCACCTGAGTGCTGAAGAAAAAGAAGGTAAGGTTGAAGGTCATGAGGAAATCTGTTTGTGGTGACACTGGTAGCGATAAAGGAAAGGAACTTTGTGTGTCATTTAACTTAATAGTATTATGGACTTCTTAAATAGAGTCCTGTTGATTTTACTATCACTTTAAGCAGAAATATGTAGTAGTAACATTTCAAAGTATGCTTTTACTTTTTCACTATTCTAAGCAGACTCAAAGGTACTGACCTCATATATCCCAGCAATAATTTTGTAATTGACTGCTGAACTCCCTAAGTAAATTACATTTATTTTCCTGTCACTTTCTTCCCCTTTACAACTGGAAATCTTGTCAGCTATTTGCTGAATTCTAGTGTTTGTATTTAGTTACAGTTCTGGTACAACAGAACTTTGACAGCAGTTGCTTAATGGTCAAATTTATTGTAGAGACACAGGAAATATTAGACTACTTAATGCATGTGAAGTGATAGTATTTTTTTGAGAGCTGAAAGTATTTCCTGCCCCCAAGAACATTGTAATGTAAGCACAGGACACGGGCTAAGGTTAAGTTATTCCATGAACAGTGGATCGAACAAAGCCTGCACTTCTGTGTGAAGATAGACCCTTTTTGCTTCCTTTCTTCACACTGCAACTCATTCCCATCCCATTCTGTCTTTATCTGAGAGAGGCTTCAAAGCCAGAGGTGTTATATACTGAGCCCCATAGTTCACTCAGTGTATGTGTCTGTGTTTGCCAAATATATGCATGTGCATATGTGAATGGATTGGAAAAAATGGCTGCTCCCAAGCAGAATGTGTAATGAAAGAGCTTTACCTGCCTTTTACTTCAGTAGATTTATTATTTCTGATGTCACTTCTGTGAACAGCACTAAGCTACCATTCTCTTTCCATTTGAAGTTTAACAATATAACTGTGGCTTTAGGTAATATCCTGGTAGCATATAAGCCTGTCATTTACTTAGAGGTGAGTTATTTTACGTGGTCTAGGGCAAACAAATAGCCATTGATTGTTTGTGTCCAATAACTTGTTGTTGGTTGGATCTTGAAGGCAAAAAACCGTGGTTTTTTTTTGTTTAAAAGTGTCGATCAAATTGGGTGTTAGAGATGTTAATGTGGCTTGGGAGTTTTTGTTGCCGTTTTTAATGGTTGTGTTTGTTTATATGCAGGTAAGATATGCTAAGGTGTATTTGAGAGAAACTACTTTAATATCCCCCTTTCCCATTTTGCTGTTTGGTGGGGGTATAGAAGTGCAGCACCGGGAGCGTCTCCTGACAGTTGATGGCTGGATCCATTTTCAGGTGTGTTGAAGTGATAAATAAACTACCCTTTTGGTTCCATGGGCTTTTGTGTTACAGAGTTGATGTACCAGCTTAATTCAGACCACTGTGTATGTGGGATGGAGACAAGAGGGAAGAAAGGAAGAGAGAATTAAAGAAAGTGATGGGAAATTTTATATACATGTAATGAAATCTTAGTGAATCCCACTCAAAAGAATAGGCTTATCATGTGTGGCTTGCAACAGATCAGTTCCCTCTGTCTGCGTGAAGAAAGTGGTCTTTTTCAGGAAAGGTATTGAAAATGGATGTAGACCAAACCTTTGTGAGAGCTGGTACTGAAAGCAGGTACTGTTTTTCTATTACCCTTTCCTACAATCTCATAATCACGTAACAACATATTTATCTTTAATATACTACTTGATATACTGCTCTGTAGACCAGACTGAATTATTTCAAATGTAAAAAATACCCCAGAGTGTAAAATACCTGCTTACATAGGTTTGGGGTGTTTGGTTTTCTTGTTTAGCCTTTTTCTTTTCCATGTGTAAAAGTTTTATGTGGAAATGGGAAAACTCAGTGTATTTTTCTTAGCATATTTCTTCAGGCAAAACAGTTGACATGTCAAGATCCTCTGTAAATTCTTTTAAGTGGCAAACACTGGTTTTTACTATCCTGCCAGCTACTTGGTTACAATTTTCTGTGCTCCTGTGGGCCTTGTCACATTCAAAAATGGCTATAAGCTACAAAACATTTTAATTTTTTTCACTCTGCTGATGCAACCAACCTACTAATTTAATGCCTTGGTTAACATAAATATGGTACTTTTAAAAACAGGTCCCTTGTGGGTTTGTTGGAGAGTTTTTTTATGGTCTCTGTGTGGCTACAGTTGTGCAGCTGCTGGGCCAATCACATCTCATAGTGTGTTTCGGAATTTGTGTTGCTACTGACATGCTGAGCAGAACATGTTGCATTTTGTGCTTCTGCTGTAATAGCTATTCATTGTGCCAAAGGCAGTGTATAAATGAAGTAAAGACTGGAGTAGGGAGGGAGGGATAAAACGAAATACTTATGGGAGAGGGTTCAGATTTAGGTATCCCACTTCCTAGTGATATTTAGGAGAGGTTTGATTGGTTTTCTCAGGGAGACCTCCTGAGAGGGAAATGTGTAGCTGTTTTATTTCAGGCATAAATTTAAATTGTACTTGTTTGCCTCGGTGGAAAAAAGCAATTAATTGGGGAGCTTATTGATAAATTAGTTTCCCCATGTGCTAGTTGGTCATGGAATGTGTGGGAACACGTTCTGTGTTACCCTTCTGAGCTGCTGTTCTTTAGGCTGTGATGCTACAACCAGCCAGTGCTTTAAGGCTAAGGCATAACGTCAGCCCAGTCATTTAATGACCGTACTATCCATATGCTTAAAATCATGTATATGCTTCCTGTTTGCTAGGATGTTGTTACAAACCTCTATTAATATGTAAGGTAGTCTTTTGATCTGTTCAGGCACAAACTGATAATGCCAATGCTTGTCTTTTCTGTTCTTATAGGCTCCTGTAAAGATAGCAGTAATTTTCAAACAACTGAGAGTTCTCATTGAGTCTGTTTTAAAGAGGAAGCTTGAAAATCCTAAAATGTCACTTGAAGGTAACTTTATTACTGCATTGCTGACATTGCTGTTTAAGTGGACCTTGTGGCAAATCTGAGGAATCACTAGTGCACACGGCAGGGCTGGTGTGGCATTACCTTGAGTGACATCCAGAAAGTCATTCCTAACCCTGTGTGTCCCACCCCAGATGTATAAAGATCTGCACAACTGCTGTTTTAAAGATATCCCTGGTAACAGCATCAAAGGTAGTGGTAGCAATGGTGAGTTAGGCATCAAAACAGAAGATTGTGTGTGAAGAATTGTAGGCATGGATGAATTTTAAGTGTTATGCAAGTTGTCTCAAAATTTAGGTTAATTAACGGTAGCCAACTGCATGTTAGTGCCCAGAGTCAAGGGGAAAAGGAGCACAATTTAAGCTTTGGATACTGAATGTTCAGAAGAATATTGTAGGTGTGAAGGAAGAAAGGGAGTTCTCAGATCTTAATGTATCTGTAGTTAACCCGTCACTTGCTGTCTGGCAAAGTGCTGACAAAAGTATTGGTAAAAGCAGGTTCAATATAAAAATGAAAGTGTGACAAAGTTCATTGGCAAGATTCACTCTACTACTTACTAGATGGTTGAAGAACAAAGGAAAAACAAACTCAAATCCAAAATCAGTCAATCCATAACCAAAAAAGCCCAAAGATTTACCCATGCGGAGGCTGGGAGGGTAGAAAAGGCTCAGGGTAAGAATAAAATGGAATAAGGAATAAGAGTCAAAAGGTTCAGAGTAGACCCTCTTGCTAAACTGAGCCCTGGACTTGGTCCACAGTTTAGGCCTAAATGTTTAACAGTACTTAAATTCAACAGCACTGAATTGCTAGCTTAAATTAAACAATTTAACAAAGGAATCATGTAGCATTTACTATAGCACAACAGTAACTTACAATCTAACATACTTAAGAATCTAGGAGAACAACATTCATAGTACATTTGCTATAGCTTATTCATATTTGCATGCACACAGACCTAGAAGAGTCTGTACAAAGTATATACCTGTGAAAAAATTGCCCTTGAGTTCAGTGAATTACTCACATCAAATGTCTTTGCATATTCTCAACGAGCAAAGGGTTGAGCCTTAAGGAGTGGGATATCAGATACTTGCAGATGACACAAAGTTGGGGGGG